ACCCACCCACACCCACACCCACACCCACCCACACCCACACCCTTTTGTGATTTTTTTACAAAAAATCAAAATTAATCGAAAATTTCATGATTTATTTTTACATGGGACCCACACCGACAGCCTCAAGTTAATATTGACTTATGTAGTCGACTAAGATTACATTAAGTTAATTTGACTTTCGAAAATTTTGACATGTGCAAATGAATATACATATTAATTATTATATCGAAAAGTAATTCCTATGTTATACATCTTATTCGAATTACTATCTAGTAGATATAATATTAAGTGATCCACCTGACGAAGTTCCGCCAAGACAGAAACAACGTTGTCGTGGAACGGCGATTTATTCTAAATCGCACCCACACCCACACCCACACCCTATATGATTAGTACTGAGGATTTCATTTTATTGAAATTCTTTTGTGCTATTTTTGCCATCTGAATGAGATCTTTGAGCAAGACCGAAACACGTGTCATGACTGCTTTTCACACCCACACCCACACCCACACTCACTTACACCCACACCCACTTACACCCGCACTCACACCCACACCCACCCACACACACCCGCACCCACACACACCCGCACCCACACACACCCGCACCTACACCCACACCCTCAAGTAATCGACTTGTTTCATTTGTTGAATCGATCATTTGTCGACATGTTGTTTGAGCACTTGTCCAATCCATGACTTGATGTTCGTAATAAATACAAAAAACAACTAACAAATGAACAAGAAAACGAAAAAGAAATCCGATAATTTTTTAAAATGAATCTTCTTACTAAGATTAATCCATCCTGTAGGACATAGAATACAATGTTTTTCATATCCAGCTCAGAATTGATCCAATGGACACAAACAATGACCAAAATGGCATTGTAAATTTTGTTTTGAACATAAATTATCATCAGTACACGGCTCATTGAAACACCAAGCAACTATATATATATGGTGAGAAATAAACTTATCTATTACATTACACTGTATAGCAGTTACTCTTCATTAAATTGATATTTCGCACCATGTTTTTCACTATCTTTGATTTGTTCATGGAATGTCGCTTAACATTATTACCGAATATTGTTCATATTTTGCTGCACGGACATATTTAGATGTGTACCAATCCCAGTGTAGAACTGGAGACGGGTATCCAGTAGCATTTGACGCCATTACCACTGGATAGTCAGTGTCACTGACACCTAGTGAATTGGCACTAGTACATGCTGAGGCATTTTGATTATACACGATATTTTTTCCAAGGGTCATATCACTAGGGACTATTTTGCAAGGGTATTTCGTCTGAATGACTTCTTTTCAAGGACGAAAACTTGCCTGGCATTTCGTTAAGGACATTTTTGAAAAAATATGCTCACATGTATGTTTAGTTGTGCCATGCTTCAAAGTTAATTTATCAATAAAAGGGGCACAATTTACATATGATACCATAAAATTATGTTTTTCAAAATGAGAATTTATCATTTGCTAAAATGTCTCTCATAAAGTGTATATATTTTATAATTAGCAGAAACGTGAGTTATAATGTGACATCTAAATTAGAATTTCATGCATACAGTATATTTTAAAAATACACATAATAATAACTCAGTTTTGACGTTTTTTATACAAAGATCAGTTAAGTTCAAATGAACTTTAAATATAGAAATATCGGAAAACAAGAAAGATGTCTAGCTTTTCGATTAAAATATTTTTGAGAACAAAAAAGACAAATAACTAAGAAACTACAGTGGATATGTTATATGTTTGTCATATTATATATCACTTATTGTGCATTAACCCTCATCTGTCAATCTGGGATCCGTGCGAACACCAGATGAAAATAAGTGCTTCGAAGATATGTCTTGCTTCTCTCTCAGACAAATGATGAATAGAAGAAAATCAGTTCATATTGATAGTACATACCATTCTGCTTCGTTATAATATAAATTCAAATGAATAGAATGCAATCGTCAAATTCAGAGAACCATCGAGGGATAATGGTAAAATTTGAGCATTTTATAGGTTGACGGATGCAGAGTAATCAAATATATCAATGCACATTCCAGAATTCAATTAATATAATAATTTATTATTGGTATTCATTCATGCATGATATAGATAACAACAGTATATATAGGTGAATAAACACTTCATTTATTTACTATTCTATTTCATACTGTGATTGACGATCAGTTTTGTTTTATAGATAGTGAAGGTAGCTCCTTAGTTTGTCTGTATTATCATGTCAGAGCTCGAAGTTAAAAACGAACTGGATGATAATACTGGTGATAATTTGGATTTGACAAAGATTTCAACATCGGGTCTATTACATCCATCAAGAAATGTTTCACCAACTTTATCATTCTCCAACTTTCATGTTTTATCACCACCAGATTTGTATGGATCATTACCGAAAGATTCACATGAATTATCACTACAAAATTTGTCTGTCCCAACATCAAGAGATTCGCCCACCGTGTCACGTCGAAGTTCCTCTACTTCTCATGTAGTCTCATCGAATCACATTGTTAATAATCCTGAAAAGTAGAATAGAATTTATACTGAAAAATTCGATTTCATTTTTTTTACAGTTCTGATTCAATTAACAGTGAAATGATGAATAACAATTCAAGAGTTGCACTGGATGATGATATGTTTGAGGGAGAAGTTCACAATACATTTGACAGCGGTGATGTACAGCAACAAATAAGGGCAAGTATTAGTTTTGCTCCAGGGGACATGGAATCAATTCCGTCAATAAACATTCCTCGAAGAAGATCCATCTTTTTTTCAAAAATGCCGTTAAGTTACTTGAATGATATTGAACAAAAACGAATTTCATGTGCCTTTCTTTTCATAACAGATTTTTTGGAAATTTAAAAAAACTGAATAAACCTGAAATTCGTCGTATGAAACCATTTGATATGTATAAATTTGCTGATAAACTAGATATTGCGTTGATGATTATCGGCTCAATTGCTGGTTAGTAAATATTTTTGTCCAACAAAAATTTATTCGTTCTTTTTGTAGCATTAGGTGTTGGAGGTACAGAATTTTATTTAACAAAACCAAGTCAATATTTTTTCTTTAGCTTGTCATCCACTAATGTTTGTTATATATCAAAAAGTACTTGATAATTTTCTCGATCATAGTAGGCTACATAGTAACACCACTGTTAATAATTCTAATGAGTGGTAACTATATACTTGTTAATCGATTTATATTCATTTCACTTTACATAGTTTGACATTTATAAGTAATACGATTATTACTTCACCTATAGATATTATACCCCGTATTATAAAGTATTATATTATTCTCGGTTTTGCAAGTATATTATTGCATTGGATTGCTTGTGCAAGTTGGATTGCTGCTGCTGAAAGACAAGTTCGACGTATTCGATATACTCTTTTTCGAAATATTCTTCGACAAGAAATTGGGTGGTTTGATGTGCATAAAACAGGAGAATTAAGTAGTCGACTTATTGGGGATCTAGGTAAATGAATTTAGAAATATGAATTTAAACTTTATTGTATCCTTTTTGTTCTAGATAGAATCAAAGATGGAATGAGGTGATTTAATTCATCAAATGTATTAAGTCGTTTTGATAAATTATTTATTTTAGCGAGAAAGTGCCTGATTTTATTTCACTTATTGGTCGAATGATTGGTTCACTTATTTATAGTCTTCTGATAGGATGGAAATTAACATTAGTTTACTTATCTATATCTCCATTAATAATTCTTGTTATGAACCTAACAATTAAAGTAAAAGACTATTTAATAGATCGATATCAAAAGCACACTTCTATTTAGATGATTGCTACATTTACAATAAAAGAAATAGAAGCATTTGCATCTGCATCATCCATAGCTCAAGAAGTTTTACAAAATATTCGAGCAGTCACAGCATTTCATGGCCAAGAAAAAGAAGAAGAAAGGTATATGATCATCTACTCTTTCCTTTTACATTTCTCATTGTTTACTTGGAGGTATCAAAAAGTGGTGACGGAGGTACTTTATTTCTTTATAGAAAGCTTTAAAAATTTTCTTCTGTATGAGATGACAGAGAAAGTGGCACTCTTTTTCCTATGCTATTCGATCATTATTTCATTAATATCATGATAAAAAATTTCGATAAGATCTGTTTTATTCGCATGTATGATGCTAGCATGCCTAGGGATGTCATTTTCTATTTAAAGTTAAATAAATATAAATTATAGGTAATTTAAATCTAAAATAAATTTAACTTAGTTTTTGCTTTTCATAATTTATTAAATTGAAGATTAAATTAAATTATTCTATTTCTTTATAATGTACCTTGAGATAGTGCCGATGCCCTTTCAAGCCCTACCTGGGGATCAGAGATGGAATCGGTATCGGCGATCGGCCGGTCCAAACCGGTCCGGTTCGGTTCGGTACCGGTCCATCTAACTTTTTTCTGTTTTTATCTGATAAACTTGTTCAAAACTTATGATCCTTGGTACTATCTTGTACAGAATACATAAGAAAATTTCGGTGGTAGTTGACTACCTCAATTATCACTATCCAGAGATAAAATTGGTGGTGATAAAGAGTTTCAGACCGGCCGGTCCGGTCTGACTTATTTGGACCGGTATCGGCACCAGTCATAAAAATCCAGACCGATTCCATCTCTTCTGGGGATACCGTTGATAAGTCTCCATGGTAGGGGTGTGAATTTATTGTTATTGTTATTAATAACAATAACAAAAAAAGTTATTTGTTATTAATAACAAAAAAATAACAAATAACTTTTTTTCCGAAAAACCTTAGTTATGCTTTGTTACTATGTAAAAGTATACCAGTTTTGTTTACTCATTATTGTCGGATTGCTCCATGATGTTACTGACCGCAATCTCCATTAGATAGCCTATGAAACTGAGAAAAATCCTAAAAAGATTTTTTTCAAGTATCTTGCTTATCTATAGGCAAAATTTACTGATCGCTTTACGAGGAACAATTCCTCAATGTCCAATTGTCTTTGACTTGATGCGTTGGTCAAATATAAGCCTTTCGAAGGTGAGAAAATGTCTAGAAAGTTTGTACAGATCATAACTCGAAAAATGGCACCTAGAATCTCATTTCGCAAAGACTTTTATTTGACCAAAATATCAAGTCAAAGGCAATCGAACATTGAGGAATCATTCCTCGTAAATCGATTAGTAAATTTTACCTGTAGGTGAGCAAGATTCTTGAAAAGATCTTTTTAGGATTTTTCTCAGTTTCATAGGCTATCTAATGGAGATTGCGGTCAGTAACATCATCGAGCAATTGTACAATAATGAGCAAATAGAACTTGTATACTTTTACATAGTAACAAAGCATAACTAAGATCTTTCGAAAAAAAAAGTTATTTGTTATTTTTTTGTTATTAATAAGAAATAACTTTTTTTGTTATTGTTATTAATAACAATAACTTTTTTTGTTATTTGTTATTGATAACAATAACTTCTCACCTCTACTCCATGGCGTATTTGAAGGGATCCTTCAAATAGGTCATAAGGACCTATGGAGGGTACCCGCAATAAGCCACAAGAACATATGGAGGATACCTCCAGATAGGGAATAAAGACTCATGAAGGCAGGACTAACATCTATACCTATTTCAACTTTTTGTACTTCATTTGGGCTTTTCCTTTTATACACTAAATGAATCATGTTTGAGCAGAGTTAATGAAACTTTTTCTGTTGCCTAGTGTTAATTTTGTCCGGGTATGAAGTCTAAATCATATCGGCTCGCTATTGACTACTGATTTTTGGCAACCGTTGCGTCTGCTCACACTTGTTCTCTTTTGTTTTTTGCGAACTTCACAAATTCACGCCAAAGTAAAATCGAATTCTTAATGAATTTTTTCAAGGAGAGTTATGTTTTAATCTACAAAAGTCCATTCTAAAATCAGAAAATTCGTACAAATAGAGAGTGAACAGTTCAGGTTGAGTTCCTATCGAATGAGCTTTTCAAACAGTTCTTTCCATAGGAGATGGTGTGTTCGAACATCTCTTGCGTCCATATAAACTCCACTTTTGAGACGGATCTGTTCTATCCCTTCATATAACTCCATAAAAATAAAACAACACACACATAAATTATCGGGAAAGGAAATCTCTCGCCACTTGTGGAATAATAAAAAATCAAAGAGCAGTCATTGGAATCAATGTTAACCCTGTACGTCCAAGACTAATCGTGCAAAACGAACAAGAAACTCATATATATTTGCGTAACCTTTGTAAAAATTTTTCAGCAGCAATCACTAGGTTAAGACAAGCGGGAACCAGCGTACTCCTGAAGTCTAGGAGTACTACGGAATCCCTAGAAGTCCCAAGGAATATCATGGAACCCCATGAGGTACATGTTACAATAAGATCAGAGTTGCTTTTATACGGCTTGTTGTTGATCTAGACTTAACTCCGAAGTGGACAGGAATAAGTAGAGTGTGATGAGCTGAATGGCTGGATGAGAGTGAGGGTAGTGGGGATGAGATGAATGATAGTGCGTGAATGAGAGTGAGAGATGGCTGTGAAAGTGAGGATGAGGGTGGACGAATGGGTGAGGGTAGATGGGTCGGGTGAGTGAGATGAGGATGATTGGCTTTCCTTCATCCTCACACTCACCCTAACCTGCCTTCTCATCTACTCTCATTCACCCACCCACCTTCACTCACGCACACCCTGACTCACTTATACACCCTCAGCCTGAGCCGTCCATACACCCTAAACTACCTTGACCCACCTACCTATCTTGTCCACCCATTCACACCCGCTATCACCCTCACCCTCACCCTCACCAACCTTCACCCACCCACCCTGACCCACCCATCTATCCTCACCTTTACTCACTCTCATTGTCAAGATGGGGTATCTATAGATTTTTATTGGTTTTCAGGTATTTTAAAGGTTTCCGTGAGTGTTTATTGATTTTTGGAGATCTCATGGAATTTTATTGATTTCTATGGATTTTTAAGGATGTCAATAGGTTCTTATTGATTTTTAGGAGTTTTAAAGGTTCCGTGCGTTTTTCCAGGTTTTTAAGGGTCTCAAGAACATTTTATTGATTTTTTGGGGGTCTCAAGGAGTTCTCATTCATTTTTATGGAGTTTTAGGGTCTCAAGGGGATTAATTGATTTCTAATAGTTTTAAAATGCTTTGAGAGGTTTCTATCAATTTTTAGAGGTCTGAAGGGCATTTTATTGTTTCTTTGAGATAAGAAGGTATTCTTATTGATTTTTATGACTTTTTATGAGTCTCTAGTGTCTGTTGTGTTTTCAATGACGGTCGAGGTTCGCTGAGAGTTGTAGACTGTTCGGAATGTCTCCGTATGTTATTTTCGTGTTTGGGAAGTGGATGGTCTCTTTCGTTTTTGGTTCTTAGTGGAAAACCGAACCCGGGTAGTTCGGTCTTGGTGCATGCGTAATCTCTGGAATCTCAAGGGCTACGGAATCTAGGAGTATGCTGTTTTCTCCTTGAACTTAAGATGCGCGCTTATTGTAAGAGAAATATCCTCTTTCATGCAACGCATTGCCATCATATGACAACAGGTCTATGATGTTCTCCGATGTTCACTTCAATGGACATTGGGGTAAAGAGTTAAACTTCTTAGACTACTCATTCCTTGATCTTGATTAGAGCCCAGTGTGACCAAGTTTTTGAGGACACGGTCAGTTTTTTGAGATTGTCGCGACTGGAAGTCTTCTTCCGTAAACTATGTATATTGTTGACAAAGAAGGTAGATATTGAGTCTATTGTTCAAAGCTACGCGAACATATTGTAGTGAAAAGAAAAAAATAAAAATTTTGAATACTAAATAACAAAATCGATCTCATCATTTGAATATGCACGACTACTCGTGACCAACTTCCAGTCACGGTCACACCGACCACTAGTTTTGAGATCGTTTGTTGATATTATTTCTTTTACTTCTTTCAGGCATATGACTTTCGTGATAGCTCTCCTATTTTTCAGATCATTATGGCCTTCGAGTAGCTTAGACAAACTACATCGGGAAACGTACATGTTAGGATCAAGAAAAGCGGAATCAACGCGAAAAGGGTATACAGCTCCAGGAAACTTCAAAGTCCGCAAGAAAATAGAGTTTTGAGTAATAAATATGAGAATTGTGGTCCTAACGAAAGAATCGAAATCATCTCAAAAACTATCTCGATCCAAAATATCGGAAACGTGCTCAAATTGGTGCTACAGGTGCCTATTACAGTAATATTACAGGAGACGCCTCGAAGTATAATATTTAGATACTATTCACTGCGCAAAATTTTTTCTTTGAAACCTAGCAAAATTCGGTGCTATAAAAAATCTGGTTTTCTTCCTTGAGTCTTGTGCTCTTCCTCTTGTTTTCAAGCAGTCCTGTTTATTCGCCTTGCTTTGTCCTTGAAAGGCTAAAAAATCATTTTTGACTGTAATTTTGACTAAACGAACAACGGCGACCTCATCCTCTCAGACGCCATGATAGTAGAAGAAAGAAAAAAGCAGCAGCTGAATACGGATTCGAAACACAACAATCCCAATGAAACATGTCTTGCATAGCGAAAGTTAAAGATGACCTCCTATTTACAACGAAATGCATTTACTCCAGCCGTTTTTTTCGCGTCACATCGCTGAATTTTGTGAAAAATATGTGCCCTATTTGAAAAAACTTCTACTCCACGACTATCCCATTTGACAGCTTCGAAATCAATAGCTCTGTATCAAGAATATCTTTATGTACGGGTTGAAAATGTATTGGAAATATCTGAACATACGTTATAAAGAAATATAACAACTTAATTTAATTTTCAATTCAATAAATTATGGAAAGCAAGAGATAATTTAAATTTAAAACGAATCAAATTATGTAAGTTAAATTTATTTTAAATCTAAATTACCGATAATTTAATTTACGCGTAAATTAGATTAAAAGTAAATGTAAATTGACCCTTCTACTTCGCATGTTTGATCCTTTGTTTATTCATTTTTCCCTCTATTTCTGGTGTGTCTGAAAAAGACCTTCTTCCGATGATCGACTCCTTAAATATTTACGCCTGTAAGAGGAAAACTAGAAGCATGGTAACGTAATGGAATCACATTGTGAGTAGAGTTGTAAGCCAACGCCTCGATCGGCGGTGGCTGGATATGAAGTCTGCGTCAGCACCGGCGGCTGAAATTTTTTGTTATCTTTTTGAAAAATTTTCTTATTTTCGAAAAATTTTTGAGCAAAAAAAGGAAAAATGATAACAGTGAATGTTTTGATAAGAAAAAGATCAGAAGAAACCTAACAATTGATTTTCAATATTGAAAATATCCAAAAATCTAGTATTTATATTAATGACGAGACAGCGGCGGCTGCTATTTTCTATAGTTTTTGCTGTTAATGGCGGCGGTGCAGGTGGATCCTAAAGGGTATCAGCGGCGGCGACTCAGCCACTCGACTTACACTTCTTATTGTGCGGAGGGAACAGTAAGCATGTTCATGTCAGGAGTAGACATGTGCGGGACCAACTGTTTTTGGTCCCGATCCCGGTCGGGGTCCCGGTGAAATTGAATTTTTGGTCCCGGTCCGGTCCCGGTCCTGGTAAATTTTTTTTGTCCCAGTTTGGGTCCCGGTGAAAATTTTCATTTGGTCCCGGTTCCGGTGGAAATTTTCCTTTTGCTGCTGATTCCGGCGAAATTCTGCTTTTTAGTCCTGAGCTCAGTTAACACATTCGCTACGATGTGGTCTAACAGTGAGCCACGCTACATTTTAACGAGAAACTGTGTAGAAAAGTACTTTATTTTTCTTTGTTCTTAGACAGGAGGCTGAACATAATGCTTTATCTGTTCTGCCTTCAGAACTCTTTTTGAGTCCATTATTCCATAGCATGATGGGTCTTGTTAAAAAAATCAAGACAAAAAAAATTGTTACTCACAACAGAACGTTTTTACTTTCTTTGCTACCGCATAGCTCGCTTCTCTTGACTGTTGTGCCCTTCCTTTCGCAAAGCAGCCAGTACAGCGTCTGCGGACATTGCCCTTAAATCCTTCCTTTTCTTCGAGCTTGCGATTAGTGAATTCGCGCTTGAATTGGGTTGCTGATTCAACTTCTCGAATGGCATGTCATGCTGAAATGACCTCACAGGAGTTTCGCCAAACTACAGGATGGTTACTTCGCTACATGTGATATTACAAATGGAAAAGAGAAAATGACAGATCAGTATAAGATGAAAAGACCAAGCAGTGCATTTATCGCAAGATGAATGCAGACGAAAATGAATCTCTAGAGCTACTCTTTAATAAAACAGAATCACGTCGAATGTGTTAAATTTGGTTTTTGTTCTACACCCAGTCTAAGTAACCTTACTTTTTCTGTTATTTGTCCATAATCAGAGAAGTTGTTACAGAATCTGCCCGTTTTATATCTGGAGCAGTTCTCACTTCTATTTCCACCGATGTTTCTTATCAACGGCAAACATGGCCTGGACTAAATTGTTTTTCGATCCTGGTCCCGGTCCCATTAAAATTCTATTTTTTGGTCCCGGTCCCGGTAAAATTCTATTTTTGGTCCCGGTCCCGCACATGTCTAGTCAAGAGAGATGCCTCCTGCCATAACACTACTATTATCTAATAATCCATTTTAATCATACATATTGAAGATAAAAGTAATTTTTGTTTTAGACTTAAATAGAAGACACATATTTTGCTTAGTTTTTTGATTGCTGAGTTTAACGAACATACAGTTGTCATAGAGCTAAAGACAGACGACTAACGTAATATTGTAATACCCATATAAATTATTTTAAATTGAGATGGTGTCGTTACATAACAAAATAATTAAAAACTGAAGAGACTATTAATAAACCATTTAGATTGTACGCGAGAAAACCTAGTAATTGATTCTATATGAATGAATTGACTAAATGTAAAATCAATTGAAATCCGTTAGACTAATAATTGATTATTTAGATCTTATATTAAAAAAATTAAATTTAATGAATTAAAAATAAAATCCATTAAAAACATTTATTCCGTTGAATTCGTTCAGAAAATTCCATATTTACTCAATTGTTTGTGATTATTTTGTGAAAACCGCTTTGATCTAATTTTTACCAGGTTTTTCACATGTGTACTTTCGACAAGAATCATCGATTTGTGGGTCGAAAGTTACCGACATCATGCAACAAATAGAACGAACAAGTTCCAAACAGTATTTTGTCATCATATCCGGTTGCCGGCTCTGAACTCCACAGCCAAACTAGAAACGGTCGGATCCGAACGTAGTCACTGGACCGAAAACGAGAGGGATATAGCTCGTATCCTGTAGTCATGAGAAAACATTTGAGCCACTGTTACGTCCGAAATGATTTTTCCAAAAATTTAAATTTAATAAAAATCGAAAAAGTTTAGGACGTTTATAAATTGGGTCGACATTTATAAACCGGGTCGAGATTTATAAATGTGGTCGAAGTTTATAAATAGGGTCGAGATTTATAAACCGATTTATAAATCTCGACCCGGTTTATAAATGTCGATCCGATTTATAAATTTCGACCCAGTTATAAAGCTTCCTTCAGTTTATATTTCGATGGACATGTATAAAAATTTCAAACCTTTACAAAGTCAATTTCGTGCGCAAAACATTGGTAGCATAAGGTTTAGCAAAGCCATATTTATGTTACGAGGATATTCTTGCCGATATAGACAACTGGAAGAATAAAGATGATAAGAACACATTACACCCTTCTCTTATTGTCCCATTACTTTTCTTAATCCTTGGTGTTACTATGCTTCGTTGGTCTTCACAGATTTTCTTGTTCTGCTTTGGTTCTGCAGTGACTATTTCTAACGACGACAGATAGGGAGTGATAAGCTGAGTGACTTTTGTTTCAACAAAGGCAAACACTATCTAATAAAAAAGATTAGTCAGCTAGTAATAAATTAGAAACCTAACTTTCTTTTCATCCAATGGCATATGTTTTCTGAACAATTGGGTGGAACTGATAAAAATAAGTTTACGTTCGACTAATCAACTTACTACTGCCTACAGCTTCTATTCAGTGGTGAACTGTCGATTTTTATAACTTGCCTTCGCATTTATGACTTATCTTTATTTTGATGATTCAACGATAAAGTTAAATTAGGCATCTATTGGATTTATAAATTGACGCCGAATTTATAAATTGATCAGGTGCTTTATAAATGATTTCTGTATTTATAAATCGAGAATGAATTTATAAACAGGCCAGATTTATAAATTGATCAGGATTTATAAATTGTTCGTGCATTTATAAATCAAAGATTCATTTATGAATAGACCAGACTTATAAACCGGGCAGGTGCTGACAGATTTATAAACAGCTCACGTATTTATAAATCAAAAACAGATTTATAAATAGGCCAGATTTATAAATGCACAAACTGTTTATAACTATTTTAAATTTTCGATAAAAAAATTGACAATTTATAAATCGATTTATTTATTTCGATTTATAAATCACCGAATTTCGGACCCAACAGTAATTCGAGCCGTAGTCGGAAATCGGGTTGGAAACGGCAATCATATCCGATTATCATTTCCGAATTCCGGAATTCGTAGGAACTAAGTCTGAAACAGAGGTCGAAATTGATGTAGAAATCCTGCATTCGGCCACTTCCCGCCATATATCTTTGACTTGGGATCATAAAAAGGAAAATTTTTGCAAGTTCTCAACAAGAATATAAAGTACCTTCCGTCGCTAATTTTGGGTTGCTCTAAGTAGATTTGCAAATAATCTGACTCAAGCAAAAACGATCGGAATAAAAAAATCTACTTATGTGGGATTATGCCAAGGTTTAACAAGTATTTTGAATTTTTCGGTATTTTCGATTACAATTTGGTATTGTATTTTTTGATACTATTGTCTTTCATTAATTAAACCATTTTTGACAATTATAGGTATGGTTCATATCTTGTTCGAACTGAATGTTCAATTTATACAGGTGGATCGGTACTTGTGGTAAGTTGATGATCTATCTAACACAGTTCTCTTTAATTTTCTTTGATTGTAGATTTATTGGGCCTGTGGAGTATGTTTATCATATTGAAAAAAATGTATTATGCAATCAATTCATATTTACTTTTCCTAGTCTATAACATGGTCTCTAGCTCAGTTTATGCCTAATATTGACAGTTTTGCAGAAGCTGCAGGTAGTGGAATATATGTATTTGATCTTATTGAACGAGTGAGTGAGATCTCATTTTGCTAGAAAACACTTTATATTATTGTAATTATTTTGATGTAATAGAAAACAAAGATCGATGCATCAAGTGACGAAGGTAATAAACCAGAATCTATTATAGGTGATATTGAATTTAATAATGTCACTTTCACGTATCCTGCAAGGCCAGAAACTACAGTGCGATTTATTTCTTCTTATATAATACTTGTATTATTTGTTTATGTTTCTCTTTTATTCAGATTTTGAATAGTTTATCATTAAAAATTTCATGTGGTAAAACAGCTGCTTTAGTTGGGCCCTCAGGATGTGGAAGTAAGTCTCATCATGTGAGATTGATATTTATACTTTTGACTTTCACTATAGAAAGTACAATAATACAATTAATTGAACGATTTTATGATCCAGACAATGGTCGAATTTTACTTGATGGAAAAGATCTAAAAACATTAAATGTTAGTTGGCTCAGATCACATATCGGATTAGTTAGTCAAGAACCAGTTCTTTTTACTGGTTCAATTGAAGATAATATTCGTTTTGGTAAATCTGATGCAACAGATGAAGAAGTACAAACTGCAGCTAAACTGGCTAATGCACACGATTTCATTATGGCACTTCCAGAAGTATTTATTCTTTATTAATAATCGTTTATATGATAGTTTTCTTTTTAAAGAATTATAAAACAATAGCTGGTGATAAATTAAGTGGCGGTCAAAAACAACGAAGTATATCAAAATGAAATATTGATTATTTTGAAAATAAAATTATTTTAGTTGCGATTGCTCGAGCATTAATATCAAATCCGAAGATTCTTTTATTAGACGAAGCAACAAGTGCACTTGGTTAGTTAGCTATTTCTTTTTCTTATTCTTATGTTAAATTTATATTGTATAAAAAATAGATAATACGAGTGAGAGAATTGTACAAGATGCATTAGATAGAGCAAAACAAGGGCGAACAACAATAGTAATAGCTCATCGTCTGAGTACAATAAGAAATGCTGATTTAATAATTGGATTAGAACATGGACAAGTAAAAGAATATGGAAATCATGACGAATTGATGAACCGAAGAGGTCTTTATTATGAATTAGTTACAGCTCAAATTCAACAAGAAAAAGAACAACAAGTCGATGCTGATAGTGAGAGAGAAGATAACGATAACACAAGTGAACGTTTGTTGACATCAAATACACTAAGTTAGTAATTCACGCTATCTTGTTTGTTATTATGCATTAATTGCATTTATTTTAGTTGATCGAAGATTCTCGAAACAGTCACTAAGTTCGAGAAGAAATTCCGATCGATATGATGAAAATACAGAAGAAGCATCATTGAATGATCTTTTCGAAAACAACAAACATTTTCATATTCCATTCATATATAAAATTTTAAAATTCAATATTCCTGAATGGTATTGGATTCTGTTAGGTACAATTGTGTCTCTTGGTTTTGGTACTACTCAACCGTTTTTTGGGTGGATTTCTTCAAATATCTATCGTTCATATGCTATACCAGACCACCAGGAGCAAGAACGTTTGATACGCATTTATACTATAATATGTTTTTGTATCGGACTCGGTGCAGGTATGAGCCAATTTATCAGTAGTATTTGTTTTGCAAAATCTGGCGAAGCACTGACGATGCGTATGCGAAAATTAACATTTAGTGCAATGCTCCGGCAAGAAATGAGTTATTTCGATCATGAATCTAATACTGTCGGAGCTCTTGTTACACGTCTTTCTTCAGATTCATCAGCTTTAAAGGTAATTAAAATTAATATTAATAAAACTTTCTAAAAATTAAAATATATATTTTGGTTAAAAATCTTTTTATCATACAAATATATTACAGGCATTTAATAATGAAAATTGACTTTTAGGGATTGACTGGTATTCGTATCGGAATTATTCTTCAATCGGTGGGTGCTGCCTTCACAGGTCTTATAATTGCATTCATAGCAAGTTGGAAAATGACGTTGGTTGTGTTGTGCTTTTCTCCTGTCATTTTGCTAGCAGGCAAAGTTCGAGGTCAACGGCAAGGAAAGACTGGACAATCAAAAAACAAGGATTCATTTATTGAACAGGGCGGACAGGTATTCAATAGATTTCATCGTCTCTTATATTTATAACACTTCGTATTATAACAGCCGTGTTTCCCTTTGCTTATAAGACAAGTAGAGAATATTCTTTCTAGCATAGCTGTAGTACAACTGCTCAGAAAGCAAAATATGTAAGCTTTGATCCCTTTCGAAGGAGGATTATCCTTTTGTTTCGCTCTGTTGTTATACCATCATGTTGCTATATTGCTTATAACAATTCATTTAAGCATGCAACACAAGCAATTGAACAGATTCGTACTATTGCTGCTCTTCATCAAGAAAGTCATTTTATCAAACTTTATGAACATGCATTCAATCAAGAATTTAAGTATGACACTTCGACATTTTTTTTTGATTTCTAAGTCATTTAGACATTTAGAAAACAAAAGTGCTACATGCATCGAATAGCGTTAGGTGTTGCTATATCTAATTCAATGTCATACTTTCTTCACTGTGCAACGTTTGGATATGGCTACAAACTTATCGAAAATGGTGAAATAGATTTCTCCCAAATGTACAGGTAAAGTAGCTTGTAATCGACATTTTTTTCGTATAGACAAATCTTTTATGACAGAGTATTTTCCGTTCTTTCTTTGTCCATGTTTGCTGTTGGACGTTCAATAGCAATGATTCCTGATTATTCAAAAGCTAAAAAAGCAGCATTACGAATTATGAAACTTCACAATAGACAGTCGCAAATCAATCCTAATAATGAATCAGGCATAATTTTGGTATCACTAGTCACATGACAATTTATTTCAAACTAAAGTGAATCGGCTTTTTTCTATTTAGGAAGATGTTATTGGTAATATTGAATTTCATAATATTTATTTTCGATATCCAACTCGACTAACTGTGCCTGTCTTGAGAAGTTTCTCATTGAAATGTTTAACTGATAACACAACAGCACTTGTTGGACCATCAGGAAGTGGAAAATCTACAGCTATTGCATTATTACAGCGGTTTTATGATCCATTGCAAGGAAAAATCTTACTTGATGGACACGATATAAAAACGTTAAATATTCGATGGCTTCGATCATTAATGGGTCTTGTACAACAAGAACCAATTCTTTTTAATCTTTCTATTCGTGATAATATTGCTTATGGTAATAATAGTCGAGAAGTAAAACAAGATGAAATTGAAACTGCTGCTCGAATGGCTAATATTCATGAATTCATCATTACATTACCTAAAGTTTATTTATTTTTTCTTTTTTTCATTCAATTCAATCTATTAATCTTATAGGGTTATGATACATTATGTGGAGCAAAAGGGAGTCATTTGTCTGGTGGACAAAAACAACGAAGTCAGTTTTTTATGCTCTAATTAATGAATATATATGTAAATATATCAATATATAATAGTTGCTATTGCTCGAGCATTGATTCGTTCGCCAAAACTTCTTTTATTTGATGAAGCGACATCAGCGTTGGATAATAAAAGTGAAAAAGTTGTTCAAGCAGCAATAGATCACGCACGAATAGGCCGAACATGTTTAATAATTGCTCATCGTTTATCAACCATTCAAAATTCGAAAAAGATTGCTGTTGTTAATCGAGGGAAAGTGGTAGAAGAAGTTAGTATAATATTCATCTAATACACGAGAAAATAAATCTTATTTTAGGGTACACATAAACAACTCTTGACACAAAAAGGAATATATGCAAACTTAACATTAGCTCAGAAACGAGCTACTGACAATTAATGATCGCATGGGATGCAAATACTCTTGACTTATTGACAAAGTACCATAAATTTTTTTATCTATCTTATGCATATCTTTTTTAAGATATTTCCATTTTATTTATAACCGACGAAAATATTTTCTTATGTTCCTGTTTAGCACTCATATATTTATTCGAGATTACTCGTTGATTCCTTCAGGGTGTGGGTGTGGGTGTGGGTGTGGCGTGTGGGTGTGGGTGTGGGTGTGTGGGTGTGGGTGTGGGTCTGTGGGTGTTGGTGTGGGTATGGGTGTGTGGGTGCTGGTGCTGGTGTGGGTGTGGGTGCCACTGAATTGAGTACCCACATCCACACCCACACACAGCCACACCTACACCCACACCCACACTCCACAAACTCACATCCCACCCACTTCATTACATTTACTCCGTGTCTTCTAAATTTTCAAAAGTGGTGAAGCATTAGTCTCCGCTTTTCATTGTATTGTTTTCTAATGTTATTTTTACCTGTAAATCGTGAGCATCATATATAGTTACTTTATTAGCAACAATCTGACGTTTTTGAAAAGTTTGAATTATTGACATGTTTTTAAAAGCAGCTCTCTTTCTGTACACTAAGACGTATGATGTTTGGTTGTTTGAAAGAGACATTCTCACCTCACGGCCTTCAAGTTTATCCGACTTGACAATATTCCACTTCCTTTTGTGGTGACATTGTAAAACAAATTGTAACGAAAAATAGAGATTAACAATAATCAGACAGTGGGTGATTATTATTATAGTAAGTCAAGCCAGTGGTAGGTGTACGTGCCAATGTATGAATTGGATTGAATGAAGCACAATAGATACAACACCACGCCAATGATGATTTATTGGAGAGATATATTATATGAATGTACAATATATTATATAAGCACAGCAAGGCACACAATAAAAGTATGTGTATAAGTGAAGGGTAGGCTTATGGTTCTTGACTTGACTTAGTTTCGTTACTAGTTCGCCAACTTGCTCGCTTAACAACTAAGTGTCACAGCCTGTAATAGACTGTAACTATTCGAGACCTAACTCCAACTGACTCCTTAGTGTTTGATACAACCATATATAGAGAGAGAAAAAGAGAGAGACAAATCGACGAGAGCAGGAAATAAATATAATAGAGCGATATATAAAGGTAGGAGAGATATAAATGTAGGAAAGAGAGAAATGGAAGAGAGGAATAAGAGGAAATGGAGCAGAGAGATGAAGAAGGACAAGGTAAGAGAGCGGAGATATTAGAGAACACGTTAATCGATGCTCGAGAGAACAAGGGGTGCCATACGAAAGGACGTCCGTCATCTTATGTAAACCCTATTGACCCTATCACGTTGAAGAAATGTGCTTGTTAGCATCGTTTCACGTAATGTTAGTTGGCTCAAATGAGAAGGGATGGCGTGCTTCTTGGCACACAAATATTTTCAAATTAGTATACGACCTGAATACTATAAAAAACAGAACGGCGAGAGAAAGTGCAGTAATAAAGAAAGAGATGTGACGCGTCAGTAAGTGATGATAGCTTGACACAACGTGTTTAAAGACTTTCTTGAGAAATAGAAACTTGGCATATTAGCTATGATAAAAAAACGAGTCTTTCCAGTTTGTTTAACCATGAACATCTAATAAATTCTTTTCTATAGATGTCTATTGTGACCTACTGAAAAAGAGGTACAAAAAATACATAATCCATTGTACCATACGGCTAGCTGCACTTGCATATAGACATGTGAATTCGACTTGGTGTCAAAAGGACAATCGCATTTAAAGAATAGTTTATAAGGAAGTCTAGGCCAACTTTACTCACCTTCTCGAATATTTATCAATTGACATCGATCAGGAGATGTTGTACGTAAAGTTATATTTTCGAGCAGAAGACGAGCATGTGCAGTAATTGTTGGGTGTTTGAGAAACATAATGATTGGAAGATTGTGCTTGAAATTAACTGAGTATAAGTGAAATAAGCTTATAAACAATCCAGGATCGTCTTTGAGAGAAAAGAATGACGTTGAGATTGATAGTGTTGAGTCAACATGAGAGAGTACTTGATACCATATTTTGTGTACACGTTGCTCCATTTCGGTTCGTGGTAGTTTTTCTTCACTTAGAAACGTAGGGCGACAAGTAAAATCCGGCGGTGGAATATTTTTTTGATCTATTTCTCCGTTTTGATCGACAGGCAAGGCATCAAGAATCATAAAACTAGATGGCACCATATAGAATGGTAGATGGGCTAAGCAATATTGTCTCAAATGTTGAATAGTGTGCGTTGTTTGAACGTAGGCCACGAAGTAATCAGTATTATTGTGTTTTGCTTTAATAACCAAATAGTCGATAACTATCTTCATCAAAACTTCTCTAATGTCTTCAAGTGCCATAGGTTGACTGCTCAATTTCACCTGATGATTCCAATATCCTTTGAATTCAAGCTGTCGGTTTCTGGTATTCATCCAACCTAAGTCACCTGTTTTATAACAAATTTCACCGTTGAACTCACATAGTACTCTATGTGTAAGATGATTACATCCATAATAACCAGAAAATACTCCACAGCCTATTAATATACAAAATAATGACATAGCTCTTATTTTATTCCGATGTAAAAAAGATGATAACTGATTTAGTTCTATGAAATATTACATCCAATGATGATTTCACCTGTTTGGACACCAGATATAACCGGGTGAAGATATTCGTCCAAAAGATAGATGTGAATATTTGGTAAAGGTCATCCAATTGGTAAAAACTCAGCATCATCATTATTGCTTTCACCAATATATTGCATTACTGTTCCTGTACATTCTGTACATCCATAATAGTTATAACATCGACAGCGCTCATTTACAAAATTCAACATATTGCGCATAGTATTAGTCATCAAGGGTTCTCCTATCGAAAGAAGATGATAGACTGAAGAAGAAATAGACCTTAGTATTGTATTTTACCTCCAGATAAAACACAGCGAAGTGTCTTTAAATTCTCCTTGCTACTTGCAGTGCTTAAACAATCGTCGAATATGCTTAGCAATGAAGGCACAATATTCAAAAAGACTGATTTGTTGACGCTCAATTGTTTTCGAAAAGAAATTCATACTAAGATTGCCATTTGGATGAAGTAGAATTGCTTGACCACCCATTATTAGAGTTTCAACGATTTCTAGTAAATGAATATCGAAATTAACTGATGTATGATGAAGAACAGTATCCATCGGGTGGATATGATTGGAACGAACACTTGAAATAAAATTGTGATGGCGAAGTTGAACCTAGGGTAATCACAAAGAACAAGTCAATCATATGTTTGTAGACTAATTCTTTCTATCGACTTACTGCTTTGAATAAGCCAGAACGATCACTTGTGAAAATAATATGTGAGATATGTTCAGGTGTTACATTGATAGAATCAATGTATGTTGTTATTTCTGCGTTTATATGATCGAAACAAATGACTTGACCAACATTGATCATTAAACATTGAGAAAGAAGCTGATTCTGTGTAGGTTGATGCACGAGAATGAGATGAGCATCAGTCTGTTGAATGCATGCATTCAGTTGCTTATCAGGATCATGCAAATTCAAAGGAGTATAAATACCACCACTCATCCAAATACCGATCATCCCAATTACCATTTCGAACGATCGTTCTATTAATTGACAAACAATTTGACCAGGCTGAACAGCACATTTAATTATTAAATAATTAGCTAACTGTTGAGCATAGAAAAGCAGTTCAACATAAGTCAGCGATCCATTTTCTAAAACTAAAGCCACTTTTTGAGGATGTAAATGAGCTTGATCAGCAAAATCCCAATGAATATAACCAATATGACCATAATCAAGAAAAGTATGGTTCAAATCATGTAATAATTCAACTTCATGTGGAAGTAAAAGCGAAAATTGATAGATGGAGGAAATTGAAAAGAGTTGATCGAAAATATTCTTCAAACGCATTGCCATTGTGGAAATAGTTGATTCGTCATAAACATCGAGTGAAGCACTAAGCGAAATAGAAATTGTCTCGTTTTGACGATGTTCACGCAGTGTACAAGTTATATCAAATTTAATAGTACTGCCAGCCAGTAAGTTTCTGTCTACTATATTAAATGTCGTTTCTTTGTCGATTTCTATATTTTGTTCACTATTATCCATTATCGTCTCCAAAAGATAGAGTATCCGAAGGAAGGATATTCCTAATTTTGGATTAAGTTTAACAATCTCCTGATAAGGCAAATGCGAATGTGGAAGAATATCAAACCAAAGTTGTTGAATTCGGTGACAAAGCTGAGTAAAAGACTCATATGGATCAATCTTCAAACAAAATGGTAGAGCATTGACAAAAAAACCAATCATGTTTTGAAGTTGATATTGAGATCTGTTGGCCACAACTATACCTGTACACAAATCTAGCTACTGGCTATTGGACATTTTGAAAAGAAAGGCAAAGAAAGCAGCGAGACCAACTTGAAAAAGTATCAAATTTGATTGTGAAATAAAACGATTCAAATTAATAAAAAAAATCATGATCAAGATCGAAAATTATTGTATAACCCTTGCCACTTCGTATGAAAGAGTTTTGTTGATCAACTGAATTGTCTAAGCTTGCTAAGACATTTTTTCCAATATTTTCGAGCACTCAACCAGTCTTCTAATCGTTCATATTGTGCATAATCAAGATAGGTAATATTGTTTTTATTGTTGGTAGATAATGCTTGCATTGTAAGAGTTTGTCAAAGATCATTAATGAATATGATAATTGAACTACCATCAATAGCAATATGATGAAAATTGAAAAGAATAATGTCGTCTTGTTTTAAATTGTTGTCATCATTGTTATTAAATGATTGACAAGGAATATGGCATCGAAACACTCGACCTTGCTCAAGATTGAACAAAGATCGATTTGTTTCTTCGTTTAATACGATTTGCTTCAAATGAGTATCATTCATTACACAGGTGATTTCTAAATCGAACAAATTATTTGATATCGGAAGTAT